GGTGAGTGAGGGACCCGTGTGAGTGACCCCTGTGAGGGACCCCTGAGAGTGACCCCTGTGAGTGACCCCTGTGAGGGACCCCTGTGAGCGACCCCTGTGAGGGACCCGTGTGAGTGACCTCTGTGAGTGACCTCTGTGAGTGACCCCTGTGAGTGACCCCAGGGTGAGTGAGGGACCCGTGTGAGTGACCCCTGTGAGCGACCCCTGTGAGTGACCCCTGTGAGGGACCCCTGAGAGTGACCCCAGGGTGAGTGACCCCTCCAGACCTCACAATGTCAGTGAGTGACCCCTCCAGAACTGTCTCTGTGAGTGACCCCTCCGGAGCCCCAGGGTGAGTGAGTGACCCCTGAGTGTGACCCCAGGGTGAGTGACCAGCTCCGGACCCCCAAGATGAGTGACCCCTCCAGAACTGTCCGTGTGAGTGACCCCTCCGGAGCCCCAAGCTGAGTGAACCCCTCCAAAACTGTCCGTGTGAGTGACCCCAGGGTGAGTGACCCCATGGTGAGTGGACCCCAAGGTGAGTGAGTGACCCCTCTGGAGCTCCAAGAGTGAGTGACCCCAAGATGAGTGACCCCTCCAGGGCCCCAAGATGAGGGAAAAATATCTCATTTTTTTAATTGGTGGGAAAAAATCCTATTTTTTTAAATGGTGTGGAAAATATCTGAATTTAAATGGTGCGGAAAATATCTAATTTTTGTTTTTAACGGTAGAAAAAAAATCTGAATTTTTTTTGTTAACGGTAGGCGAAAATCCGATTTTTTTTTTATTTTTAATGGCGGTAAAGAATCAGATTTTTGTTTTAATAATGGGACAAAGATGAGAGGGGATAAATGGAGTTTTCCTGCTGTCCCCAGTGGTGTACGAGCACCGGGCCCGCCTGGAGCGCTCCCTGCAGAAGGAGAGGGGAGAGCACAAAAAAACCAAGGAAGGTGAGACCCCACTGGCCCCAAAGGTGGCTGGAGAAATATATAGAAATATAAATATGCTGAGCAATGCTTTATTCTAACATCACACTACAAACAAATAAAAATATAAAATATAAAATATAAAATATAAAAATAAAAATAAATATAACCTATAAATATAAGTATAAATGTAAATGTAAATATAAATATAAATACAGATGTAAATATAAATAGATATAGATATAGATATAGATATAGATATAGATATAGATATAGATATAGATATAGATATACATGCAAATATAAACAGAACAATGCTTTGTTCAAACATTACAACTTTATAATAACTATAACTATAACTGTAAGCATAGCTATAACTAACTATAAATATAAATATAAATGTAAATGTAAATATAAATAAATATAAATATATATATAAATGCAAATATAAACAGAACAATGCTTTTTTCAAACATTACAACTTTATTATAACTATAACTATAGCTATAACTATAACTGTAAGCATAACTATAACTAACTATAAATCTAAATCTAAATCTAAATCTAAATATAAATATAAATATAAATAACTATAAATAAATATAAATATATATAAATACACATATAAACAGAACAATGCTTTCTTCAAACATTACAACTTTATTATAACTATAACTGTAACTATAACCATAACTGTAACTATAACTATAACTAAAAACATATAAATGTAAATATTATATACATATTAATATACATATTAATGTAGATATAAGTGTAAACTGAACAATGCTTTATTCAACCAATAAACCTTTTATTATAACTATAACTATAACTATAACTATAACTATAACTATAACTATAACTATATAAATATAAATATAAATATAAATATAAATATAAATATAAATATAAATATAAATATAAATATAAATATAAATACAAACATATAAATATAAATAAAAGTGTAAACTGAACAATGCTTTATTCAACCATTAAACCTTTATTCTAAATATAAATATTTTTAAATGCTGAACAATGCTTTATTCAACCATTACAACTTTATTATAAATATAAATATTTATATATATATGCTGAACAATGCTTTATTCAAACATTACAACCCTTTCACCCATTTCACCGCCTTCTTTTCTCCCTTTTCCAGATTTTTTAGTGTACAAGTTGGAAGCTCAGGAAGCTCTCAACAAGGAGAAGGTGGGCGTGCTCTGTGCAGGGCT